GGCAACTATAAATATTAGACCTGTCCTTAAGCAGGGCAAAATCGAATTTTAATGGTCTTACCCCCCAAATTGGGTGGAAATAATTAAAGAAAAAGGTCAGAATTTTTTAAAAATTTTCCCTCCATATTTACCCACCGCTAGGAAGCCTTACTTTTTCCCATAAGAAAAGCATTGATTTTTCGTGACTTTTAATCTTTTTTTTAGTGTTACTCTAATTATCAGCTAAAAAATCGTAAATTCTCAGAAAATGTTTACAGTAATGTAACCTTTTTGTCGATTTTTTTGGAAATCGATCCAAGCATTTTTGGGTCAGATCAATCACGTCTTTATTCTCTGTATGTTGCTAAGAACGCGGAAAAAGAAAAAAAAAGTCGAAGAACGTCGTTTTGAGCGTTAAAAATTAGAGGAATAAAATGGCAGAGGTTAAAAAAAGAGAAGAAACTTTTTGCTGAAAATTATGTATTATCGAAAATCGCTGAAAATAGTCGAAAAGTATCTTTCAGAGGTCCAAATATACAAATTAAAATCGGTCAAGTCGTCACATATTGTATTAAGGATATTGTCCCTGTCACGTATTTCTAAATTATATAGCAGAGAATATCATGATACATCCTTAAACCGATTGCTTTGTTCATAAATTTTGCATGACCGTTACCTTCTTCGAATCAGGGAACTTTCTCCTATGTTCCTCAATGACTTGGAAAATGTATTGTTTCTGGTTTTCATTATGCGTGAGAATATTATTAAAATCCGTCAATAGACCAACAGCCCTTTCGGCCGCATCATTCACAACTTTTAATTTTTTGACAATTTCCGAACCTTCTCGAAAACTCGCAGTTCCAGACCAAAGAGATGGGTCAATTTTTAGAAACGATTGATCAATTTCAAATCGGAGAAAAAAAATCCGGGTTTGTGATGTTACAAAATGATCGATCTCTTTGTCGCAGTAATTGCCAATGTCTTTTACTTTGATTACAATTTTCTTCGGGCAATTTTGATCAATTTCTTCGATCACGTCGCCCGGGCCCAACTCGGACACCATGCAACGTTTCACGTCCAATGGTAAATTCTCATCAAAAAATGATAAGGCGACCGTTTCAGGGCTCAAAAACCAGAGGTGATTTACAAATTTTTGCATAGCTGCATTAGCTATCTCTCTGTCAACACTCTTATAATTATAGAGTTTTTTCAAAAATTGAAGATCATGATTTGGAGCTGCTCCTGCGACTGGAGCAGTGAACCATGCTTCCAGATAAATCGTAACGATAAAAACCGATACATCGCGGATCGCCCGATATTCAGTTTTTGTCATTTCGAAACTGTCTCGGAACAAAAATATTTTCAAAGAATAAATAGCTTTGGACATGAAACGTGCATGATGCATTGCACCCGGTGAACGTATTGCAACTCCTTGTGATGGAACGGTTCCAATAAATAATTGTGTCAAAATCAAAAGCTCCTTGTAATCCGCTCGAGGTTGGTCCGTTTCTAATGCCCGTTCAACAAACGAATTGATTCTCGTGATATTCTCAACAGTTACAATGATCTTTACTTTTTTATCATCAATGCCAATGCGAAGCGCTGTTGAATCGATTTTTGACCAGGAATCTTTGAAACGTTTGAAAATAGGTTCATCTGGTCCAGTCGAGGGGGACTTTAATTTCGCATTGAAAGCGCTTTTCAAAACTATCTCAAAAATATGGTGTCGACATGGCAGGTATAAAATAGATTTCTCTAACATTTGTTCTAATAAAACCGCCGCGCCATTCATGACACCCATGTTCGAAGCCGTTGTATCACAACAAAGAGCTTTTATCGAGCTCAAAGCACCCCACTCATCGAGAACGTCATGAATGGCGTTTGCTTGCGTAACGCCTCTCCCGTTTTCGAGTTTTGGGACACCTAACAGCTTCTCAGAATCACTGTTTGTTATCAAAACGGGAAGTCTCTCAAGCTTCTTACCACTAAAGTAATCAGGCAAAAGTTTTCCGTCCCAATGTACAACAGCGGCTCGCAAATCAGTATTTTGGAACATACTTTTTATTTTTATGGACCTCATTTCACGCAATTTTTCACGCTTTCTCTTTATCGAGCTCCGATTAACAATTAACGCATTTAAATCGAATCCAAGAGACTGAGCTACAGAAGCAATTAAATGAACGGCCGATGTATCGGAGACTTTAAATCTATCAAGAACGGCGACGAGTTTGTCATTTACCACATCTACGGTGCCTCGAGATTTTTTCGGATTTGATGGTCCAGCATCATCTGCAGCATGGTCTGTTGTGGAATAATTTGAAATCGTGCCTATGGATTTTTGTGACATCGTTTGTGAAAAGTCGCCACCATCACTCGATGCCAATTCCACGATTTCATCTGGAAGAATTTTTTATCGTTCTTACATATCTTTGCTGATTGAGGATAAAAGAAAAAGTACCCTGAATGAAAAAAAATGACGCCACGGTTTACAGAATATGGCTCACACAAAAGGACGAAATTTGCAGATACCGATGAAGAATTGATTCGAAAAAAAAATTCATCAAGAATCCAAAAATAAGCACCATAGAGAATGTGAAAGAGAAATCAAAAAGTATTACAAAATTTTTCAATAGTGCCCCTTACTGCAAATGTATAGCAATCAAATCTCTAAATGGCAAAAAGAGCCACTAGTGTACACGAAATTGGAGTTCAAAAAATTAAAAAAAAAACGCACAACTCGGTAATTGGTCCAAGAACGAAATTATATTCTGATATTTTTCCGAAAATGCTAAAGTCAGAAAATAGAGGTTGCAAAAGGTCGAAATTTGCAGGTGCAAAAATCTTCAGGGTCATAAAACAATGGTTTGGTCAAGATATTTGGAGAAAACTTACCAAATAATGCTCTTTCTTGTTCCATTCTTTCCAACCTCTGTAACGCATCGGTTGTTTTTCGCAATTCTGCTGCCTCCATCAAATCATATGTGCTTTGGATATCCCAGATGAAACCGATACGACCAGGCTTCCTTTGATTTTGCAGAAATTCCGTTCTTACATCGTCGAGACCTACAAGCGCATCTTGATGGGCGATGTCAAAAAGGTCATCCAGTTTACCGCAGAATTCTTCTTCCCTCTTTTTATTGCTTGGGGCATTGATATTTTTTCCCAATAGATGCCATTGTCGATGTAAATCCATCAGTTTCGTTACGCAGTTATAATCTTGCTTCGTTTTTAATCTTGCTTTTGTCCAAAAAATCATAGTTTCTAGCTAGTGATGCACTTGTTTTTATATCAAAACCTGACACTCGCGTGTTGAAAAACAAAACTTTTAAAACTTGACGAGTTGATGGTAGTTTGTTCCCGAAAATTTGGGAATCCACACAACCAATCAAACGAATGTTTTCTCGTAAACGCATTGTGCACCTAACCCAAATCGACGAAATATGGGAGACTGCGATTGTAGGGCCTCAAGTCGATACTCTCGGAGCTCGGAGTCCAGCGGTAGCAAGACCCTTTGTTTGCGGGCATTGGTGTTAATCCGCGTCGATATAGTTTTTCGACTTTTTCCCGCGTTTTTCGCAACCTACAGAGATTAGAGATGTGATTGATCTGACCCAAAAATGCTTGGATCGAATTCCAAAAAATCCGACAAAAAGGTTACATTATTGTGAACATTTTCTGAGAATGTACGATTTTTTAGTTGAATATTAGGCTAACGCTAAAAAAAAGATTAAAAGTCACGAAATATCAATGCTTTTCTTATGGCAAAAAGTAAGGTTCCCTAGCGGTGGGTAAATATGGAGGGAAAAATTTTAAAAAATTCTGACCTTTTTCTTTAATTATTTCGACCCAATTTGGGGGGTAAGACCATTAAAATTCGATTTTGCCCTGATTAAGGACAGGTCTAATAAATATACACTAATTACCTACTTAAAGGATATATATTTTTAAGCATTTCATTACTACATGTTAAATCTAAAGAAAAGAAAATTGCACTAGAAATAACTCCACGTGTCCCGTCTGCGTGGAGTTATTTCTAATTGATTTTTCTTTATACTTAAAGGATGTCAAATTTTTTTTAAAAAGAGCGATTTTTAGAATAGTGAAGCACCAAATATGTTTACTTGCACACATTATCATTTCAGACTATATATCTATTTAATAATTTATGAACGAAAGTGGCAAACGTAATTTTATATAAAGTTGTGGGACTGGTAGCTAAGAAACATTTTTAATATTTTTTTTATGTTTGTTGCTGTACGCAAATTACAGTGTGAATTTAAAATATAGGTAATAAAATAACTAATTAATTAAGTATTGGTGTCATTCAACGTGAATTGAAAGTGAGATCAGTGTCCAGTTTGCATTACTTAGCTCTCGCTTAAATATTTGTTCAATCAAATCAAACAAATTACATTATGGGCTTCTCGGGAAAGTTATCGAATGAAGCTGTTTTTTATACGATTCACAACATGGAAGAGAACCAAACTAGAAATACGAGAAAATAGAATCGTCACAATCCTTATCTAGATGAAGGAATGCACACTTGGCGATCATGACAAAAAATATAAATCAACTTTTCCTAGCTCTCGTGCGCAGTAAACACAGTAATATATTGATTTATTTCTTATACGTAGTTATGCCGTATTAGGGCCAATTGAAGCAATTTTGTTTAATCTCAATGTACCTAAAATAAGATTTAGCCCATATAATAGTGTGTGTGTCATCAATTGAGATTTTATAAATTTGCTGCAGCTGGGCCTCTTTAATAAACGTGGACTACAAAAAGAGTACTTAATAACACTACTAGGAATTAAATGCTTATAAAATAAAAATATAAGTAACAAGAGTTAACCTTAACTCAACTGCAGGAAGTAAGTCTGTTTTATCAAATTTTAATATTAAGAAACTACCTAATGCAAGGACTTATCAGGCTCTATAATATGTATTGTATAAATGATATTTTTAGCAACCTTTCGTCGTCTGTACAAAAATACAAATAACAGTCTAAAATTACAACTCACCGTCACTCAAAACAGGTGTCGCATTCTCGTTCGAATCCCCAAAATCTGTAAAAAAAACATTTATGAATAAATACATTAATAAAATACAAACATTTCATCCATTCCGTGAGGAAAACAAAAAAATAGTGCAAGAAAAAACTAGAGCAAGGACTGAAACCCTAATTTAGTTACAAAGCAAAGTTACTGATTAGAAGCTAAATGTTATCATTAATGTTTGCTTACAATCAGATTGCAATGTTTGTAACACGAGGTAGGCCGCAGCGAAACAATAACCCGCGTGTTAATCATATTGCACACTTTCTCCGCAATCGGCATTTCCCTTGTATCGATTGTAGTGCTATCGATCGTCGCGCGTGATCTATCGATTTGTGGTCGAATATCGATACAGGCGGGCGGCTCTTGTTCGCTTCCCGTATACTGCGTTACTTGATAGTTCATACCATAATTACATTCTTTATTTTTACACTATATACATAGGTGCATCTTTTATGGGAGATCTTTTATTTTGCAGAGCTTCATAAGTGCAGCTTTAATGTATGTAAAATTTAAGTAATTTGTCTAAGGTCTAGAAGTTACGCTTAACTAAATAAAGCGTATGTTTAACCTTTTATTCTTATTTTCTATTAATGAAATCATTTGATTGAACAATTATAAATGTGAATTAATGTATTAGTACATCCACATTTTCCCATGGAAAGTTTTCTCACTGTCTCCTCGATTTTTTAAATTAACAAAAAAAGTACTGATGTCAGAAGCGCATTTGGTATCCGAAAGTCACCCTAAGAAAACTGGTCACCACCATTGAAAATCCTTAAGTTGATAAAAAAACTGCGTCCCAATTAAACAGCGGCTAATAAACTAAAGAAAATTTAATGAAACTTTAGTCAAAGCATTATGAGAAAACAATAGTTCGTGGTCTAATCAGTTGTTACTGTGAGATTTTTAGTATGAGATCTTGCACGTGCGCCGCACCTTCAAGGTGTCGCTTACTCGAGAGGTCCCTCCCGGGTTCGAGTCCCGGTGGGGGCAGATGTTTGTGTGATGTATACGAGCATTTGTACTCCAGTCATGGATGTTTAATATGTATTTACAATGTAATAAAAATAATGGAGGTAATTTAATAATTTAACTAAAGAACAACCCTCGAATAGCTAGACTAATTCTTTGTCCGAGCTAGCTGCCAGCTCATCGGTCTCCTGTGATGTCGACCAACCTTTTTGCTATTTCCTTAAAAAGTCTTACAGCGCTAGGACCCCACGGACCAAGGGTCTCGACACCGAAAGGGACAAAATCATATTCGGAGCCTAGACCACTATATTTGCATGCCTTAGCTTTTTCAGCCGCTTCGCAAGCCGTACCAGCTCTGTTGTTGGTTCCATGTGTTGATGGGAAGGGTAGCGTGTCTGAACAGGTTGCATCCCATACTAGCACCCGGCCCATCTTCCATGGATTCTATTATTATATTATATTCCATTTATTTATATGTAAATATACTTATATATGTATGATTATATGTATTCTATCCGTTATCCTAGAATCCCATAACAAAAGCCTTATAGTGCTTACTTTGTAGCTAGGCTAATTAGTGTGAGTGTTGGAAATATTTATTTATTTATTATTATTATAGTGTCTTATGTTGTTTAGATAATGGTACGGAACCCTTCGTGCGCGTGCTGACTCGCACTTGACCGAGTTTTTTCTTCATTATGACTTAGTCTTTATGTAAAGACAGGTTTAGTTGCGGAAGCGGGAGTGGTAAATCATTATGAGTAGGCGCTCAAATCGCGGCGCGTGCGCATCCGCGGACCAGCGCGATGCAAGCGCGACCCCAGGGTCACAGGCGACTCCGCACTTTCACTACCATTTGCATGCCTATTATCAATTATATATAAATAAATAGATATTTTATTGTGGTGCATTCGAAAACGATAAGTGCCCGTAAAGCGGTTACAAAATACTTACATTAAGTAAGGAGAAATTCACACTTAACGGTTTTTTATGTTAATTTTAGATGAACCCTTACAAATGGCTTTCAAATATTTTGAATAATTCATACTTAATTATATGACTATGATAACTACCTATAATACATAAAATATTCTAACAAGAAACATGACTTAATTAGTAGTGTAATTCATAGTTATAAATATACTCGCTGTGCCCCGCGGTGTTCCCCGCGGTTTATTAGGGATATTTTCCCGCAGTAAAACTTAGCCTGTGTGTCAATCAGATAACTCCATACCAAATTTTATTAAAATCGCTCCAGCGGTTTAGACGCGAAGAAGTGACAAACATACACACTCACAAACTTTCACCTCTATTATATTAGTGTGATTGCGGAAATCCAATTATGTTTATCAAATCAAATTAAGTATTATCTCTAACGAGTTTGAAAATTATTATGATGCGTCTCGTGTGTGAATAACATGACACTTATTTATTTGTTTCTTAGGTTTTCACGCACATCACTCATTTAATAAAACTAGTTTTAACGGATTAATGCATGAACTTTATTTATTTATTGACGTTTCGCAGTCTTTTCAGTCTGCATCGTCAGAATAATGATTTTTGAAGTGAAAACTTCTTTAGCGGCGTTGTACACTTTTTTTGTATGGGTAAAAAATATTTAACTCGCGTCAGGTTAAGCACGTGGGCTGATCGCATCATGACACACAATAAATTTGGAAAGGTTATTGACTTTCAATATATTGGACGAAACATAGCTCTATCTAGGACGTCCACGTGGCAGCTTTATTGAGAAGGAAACACATTTTTCTACAATAGATGTCGCTAGGTGCGCTTAAATGTGATTCATGTAAGTTGATTTTTCTGAGAGATAAACTTTTTTAATGTAATATAAATTGTCATGTTTGTGTACGATAGCGCAATAAATAAATATTGTATTCTACCACATACATGATAGTACTTTTATACTGGTAATTAAAGCAATTCGTGCAAAATTATTCCCTAACCATTCCAAAATATCAAAAATGCACAACGTTAATATTTAAGTTTTCACTTCTGCCGGCACTCCCGGAGTGCAACCCGTCGTTTTTTTATTTACTTAATAATATTTATAAGTAAATAAAAAAAACATTATTCTGACGATGCAGACCTGAAAAGTCTGCGAAACGTCAATAAATAAAGTTCGTGCATTAATCCGTTAAAACTAGTTTTATTTATTGATTGATTTATTACATACCTATTACAAATGATGAATTCATTGTGCATCGTGTGAACTATTTAATTAAAATGTCAAACTTCTGTCATAATGTATTTGTTCTCAAGCAATTGGTCCAGCAAGCAATAAATATTATGCTAATTAGAATCATATAACGTGACAATGAGGCAAAATAAGTACTTTAGAAAACACACTCTATTATTAAGACGTTAGTACATTTATGAAGGCAGAGAGAATAATGGCATAATGGTGTTATGCGTTCTCCGTGTTCGCTTAGTTTTTGGAATAAATATTTAAAGTCTTTATTTAGTTTCTTGGTATATTTTTTGGAAGAGTTGAATTATGCTTCATATAATTCTCATGATTAAATACAGAACTTGCGAATTAACTTTAAAGTGATCGGATTAACCTTCAAAATAAAGAAAGCCAGAAATTCAAAAAACAACAGTAAAGCTTGAATTTTGTTAAAAAATGAGAGGTGATTGATCACAACAATACCAAATATTTGTAATAAAAAAGTCAAATATATTTGTGTATATCATTAGACTAAAGTGTAAATGTGCTATTTATTCCGTTTTGCTTCAGTCAGTGAAGCAAAAAAAAATAAGCTAACTAAACATTTTCATATTTTTAGAACGTTTTCGGTTGTAAAAAGTTATCTTACGTTATTCGTCCCTTTTCTAATGATTTAATGCAAGCAGGGAAACCGAGTGAAAGTGTTCGGAAACTGGTGTTGTTTGGAAACGGGCCGCTAATCGGAAACAATGCGCGCGCTGTGCGCACTTCATAGATCACTTGTTTCGACCAATGACGCAATGCTTTTTCATTTTTATACAAAACCTAGTCAAAAACAATACTCGATCCGATTGTCAATGCGATTTTAGTCCATTTGCGAAGGTATCCGATACGGTAAAAAAAATCTCCAGCTACTGTCACTTAATCATCAGTCAACCTGAAAATAATTGCCCATTGAATGATAACAAAACCAATAATAGCGTCATATAAGTACCTACCTATTTGACTGCAGTCATTATGATAGAGAATTCTTTTTTAAACGTATGCTCATATCGAGGGGAAAATTCGCTGTGCCCTGAATTCATAAAATAAGTTTAAATGGCATCAAAAATATTAAATAAAAATAAATAAGTTGGTACTACCCTTTTGCTTTTGCTGCTTCGAGTTGGCCGTCGTTAGCCGTTACGAAATGTGTCACAGCACAGGACAAACACAGGCACATCAACTGGTACCGTCCACCAATAAGGTCGACTAATAGGGGATGTCTAGGAGCGCGTAGCGGTGATGCGGGGTGCGTGGGAGCAGCCAACTCGAAACGAATTCGTAGTAAATAAAAAAATATCCTAGAATTGACTGTATGAATATTATAATGCGTGATTATGGCGCTTGCAACGCCACGCACACACCATGCATACATCTTGCACCCGCGCTTGAACACGTGTGCGGGTCCTGTGCGTGGTCGGTGCGGCTCATCTGAACACGCCGTAAAGGTGCTGCCCGACGGCCTGTGTCGTGCCGGGCGCGGCTGAGCCACGCAAACGTATGAGAACTCTAACGTTTGAGATTTAGTTCCTTATATACAACACGAGGTAAATAGAAATCTCGTACACATTGTGATGGGATAATGAAGCTGTACTTACTTAGTCGATCCTTTGTGAACCGGACATTAATTTACTTTCTGATAATAAGTTTGGTTTGTTCAAATCTCATATCAAAGTATACGAGATTACCATATACCTCGTATTATGTATAGATAATGCTAAAACTCCAACGTTAGAGTTCTCATATGTTATGGACCGCGCCCGCTACAACACAGGCCGTCGGATAGCACCTTTAGGCTGCGTTTGCGCTTCGAATTCACCTGCATTCGTAATCGCGTGCGCGCAGTTTTTAGAGTATGTAATCTTTAGTATGTTTTATACAAAAGTTGTAATGATGATTTTTGCTTCCTCAATCCTATACCATGAGTAAACATTTATATCTAGTGAACTTATATTTCAAAAATTCAGATGTTTTAGATAGATTATTTAAAAGTTTTTTTATGAATATGAATCTTAATCTGCTTTTTCGTCATTTCAAATCAAATTAAAATTAACAATAATGAATAAAGTACATTACATATATCCTGCTAGTCATTGTATTTTGTCTGAAAATAAAAGTACAAATTAATCCATTTCATGCAAATTGTATTAAAATTTATCAAACAAAGTGGTCATATATAAATATTCTATTCATTTAATTTATTGTTTGTTATTATTGTCCTTATATGTAAATCAGTGTGTTATTATTTAGATTTGGTATACCGTCGCGCGAAGCAGTGATCTTATACTCGTTTTAAGCTTGTAATTATTAATCGATTTATTCTATATACGTGTGTGGCAGTGCAGTGTCCGTGCGTACAGTTAAGGCTTCACTTTCAGCCGCCGCATATCGTCGGTAATCGATTTCAAGTTCATACGCTTCTTGTGTGTCAATGTCGACGGCTTCTCACCGCCACGCCACCAATACGCCATCCATTCCCTTGTACTATTCGCTCACTATCTACTTACGTATTCATGTGATCCGATGTAAGTACGAATGCAAGGGCTTTCCAAAACAAGTAAAGGTAAAAATGTAAAGAACTTGTTTTCAAGAAAAAATTTACTCGTTCCAGACCGGATGCAAATTTCGAATTGGACTACCGGGACTTTAAGAGCGGACGTGAGCTGGGAGACATTTGAGAAATGGTATTTGAAAAAACTAGTTGGCAAATACCGTGTGATAGGGACAACAGTAGTTAAAGCTGAAAATTGCAAAATTCGAGGTTTGGCTCTATGTTTTGAATTTTTTGTAAATGCTAATTAAATCTTTACACTAGATGTCTTTAGTGGTGATAAAAATTTGTTTATTTTTGCTTCTAGTTTTTTTCAAGCACAAGTTATCGAAAAGAGTAAGACATAGGAGAATAGAATGAGTAAAATGATATTTTATGTATGAAAATCAATTCTTTACATTCTTTCTTTCTTTCCCTCTCAGGTTCGAGTGGCCTAGAGGCTCCTGACGGAGAGGAGACTCCCCAGTGGGGAGATGCCATCCGCCTGGAATGCCTCTAGAGGAACTCGCCAATTCTAGGCTTGAGGTCCCCTCACGATCTCGTCGTCCCCAAACCCGGTGACGCTGTAAAGATCTTCCACGACGAACAGCATACACACTCAAAAAAAAACCATACAAATTTTCGCGTTAATAATATCAGTAGGATAACCATGCAAGATATTTTAAAAGTATCAAACATATAAAAGATAGTCTCAAATAAAATCTCTTAGTCCCGTCGTAATATAGGGTCAGATTCAGAATAGTCCATTCTAAAGCGTATCGGATTGTTTGCGAGCTTCCCAAAGAAATACACATATTAGTAAAATAATTAATATGCAGACTATTGCAGGCGCTCGTGTTCTAAGTTATTTTACTTTTTCTTTCTATTTGAATATGCTAAAGAGTCATCAAAAGTGTGCCACATATTAAATTTCACTAGGCAAGCAAACCAGAGAAACTCATCACACTCAATTAAGCCCGGGTGTTTAATTTAACCAACCACTCGAATTCTATGAGATTACGCAAATTTTTGCACCGTGCGATGGTTATAAAAGAAAATGACGAAAGGAGATTTCTCAGCTTCCATACATGTCTGGCCTAAAGACCACTAATCATGAAAAATTGTTTCCTAGATTCGAAATTATATATAAATTACTGTAGAAACGAATATTATTGACGGACACCCTTCTATAAACCATACGAGCCCTTACCGCCAAATTATCGTAAGCGACACTTTTGTCGAAATGCGTTTTTTGTGGAAACTAATATAATAGAGGGAAGAATAGAGGGAAATATCAACAGAGATGGGTCCGTTACGGTTTAAAATATTAGTTTCCACAAAAAACGCATTTCGACAAAAGTGTCGCTTACGATAATTTGGCGGTAAGGGCTCGATATACACTGAATGATATTGAGGTTATGTTTGCAAATAGGTACATAGGTATTTAAATAATAAAAAACAAATAAGTTAATAGCAAACTAGAAAAATCAAACCAAGTACCGAAATTATGTATTAGATTCAGGTATATAAAGCATGTAGATTAATAGATAGTTACCTGTTTTTAAAGTTAGTGCTTATGAGTAACTTTTAAAATCAGGTATAATCTACGAATTTCCGGTTATAATAAGGTACTCTGTGACAGAAACTGTGTGTTATTTGTGGATGAGCCACAGATTAGAGAGATTTTTTAAACTCTCGTTAACTAAAGCAAGCTTATTATTTTTGTTATGTTTATATTTTAAACCATATTTTAGATTTTTAGTGTATCACACCTTATAATGTGTTTATGGAGGTGGTGTTGGTGAAAAATGTATGGCTTTATGATGTCGCCTACCATCTATAATATTTGTCTTAGCACATTTGCATGTAGGTAGTTAAAAATAATAATATACTTGATACAAATACCACAGTGTAATAAAAAAATGATTTATTTTATCAATCTTTAAAAAAAAATTGTTTTCATGTTATATAAACAACTTCGATCAGTATTTGGCTGAATATTACTACACCCATAGCCATTAAAAATGATTCGTATGTTTTCCAAACCGGTAAAATAAAAGTCCTTTTTAAAATTAATATATTATACAAAGGTGTCCGTTAAAATCTAATGACTGTAAAATAAAGTATAAATTACGCCATGCATTGCCGTATATGTCAATATTTTTTTTACATTCGGGCCAATTTGAGCAATCTCCTTTGTGTGGCGAGTTTTGTTATTGTTCATACGACGCCTGAAAGCAGCGCCAGTACTCAAGATAATTTTCAGTATATCTGTCGTAGGATAATTTGAAAAATCGAATTCTCACGGAAATCCTATGGCTTTTGCAAAGGACTCGCCCTTTCGCCAAAATCCTATCTTTTTTCATTATCATTAATAATTGTCATTTTGACATTTGCGTTTCCGCGAAATCCGTAGAATTTTCGGAAAAAATCGATTTATTAAATCCTCGTACTACATATCGATTGTCATCCATCATACTCTTGTTTAGATTGTTTTTAATGCCGTAGAGTTAGACACGATAAAATAAATATCAATAATCGATTTTAAGGGCCCAGCATCGGCCGCGGCACCGAACGAGCGCGCGCGGTAAAGAGCAGCTTTCATCTGCGCATGCGCATTACGTCTGAGTTTGGTTTCACGGTCACTGCGCAGGAGTTTCTAGCGTTCTTGTAAACTACACTTCCGATGTTTACTAACAAATTCGCTGAGGATTGCCCGTTCAATAGTAAGCAGAGCGTGCGGACTGTGGCTGCTTCAACGCAACTTCTATACGACGACGAAACGAGCGACATCTTGATTTCGGCTTATTACCAACCAAGTGATTGACAAATGTGAAGGATTCACCAAGGATGTGTTCACCTAATTCAATACTGTTTACAATGAAGTAGTTATATCTTTACAAAATCATCATCATCAGCCTATTAATGTTCCCACTGCTGCGGCACAGGCATTTCCTATGGATGGAATAGGGAGTTTAGGCCATGACCCACCACGCGGGCCCAGTGCGGATTGGTGGGTGCTAACGACTGCAGATGCAGCCGGGACCAACGGCTTAACGTGCCTTCCGAAGCACGGAAGAGCTCGAGATAGTAAATTTTTGGTCACCCATTCAATGACCGACCACTACGAAAGTTGCTTAACGAGCTCCTCCTTTACAAAATACCTGTCGATTATATATTCACACGGAGTAAAATATGTATAACTCTCTTAATACCACTTAAATTTTACTTTCTATCTCAATAATTCGTAGTCTTGGAAATACAGCCATCCCTTATGATGTCAAAACTTGATTTAAATTCATAAAAAAATAAAAAATCTATTTTATAATCAAGTTTTGATAGCGGTCAATTACAATACTATCTTTATTTCGGACTTTATTTCTAATTGAGTTTTACCGATTTCATCTTAGAATAATAAGCCGCGAAGCAATTAATAGATCTGGCCAACCACCGCAACGACGAACATTTGTCATTGCATATTGCTCATGTTCATAATGACGCAGTCTACACGTCGCGGCACGTAACTTTAGCGCCGAACAAAACGTAGAGGGGATAGCTGCGCATGGGTACGACTGTAGAGCCAATCGGCGCAACGCGCGCCCACCCGCGCACCTCTGTTTCCCCCTAACACATCTTAAGTTTTACTTCATCGCAATAACGGTCAGCGCTAGAGTTTCGTGCCGCGACTTATACTACTGTTCATGCATCGGCGGGAGAATAGACCATCGACCACCATTAACTGCCTCTCCTTCGGTGTTAATTGCATCATGTCATTTGATCTTCGAACTCAGTTTGGCTTGGTTCAACCAAATGAAAGTGAGGTGTTCCGTTTCGATTTTGACGCGAGGGACAAAACTAAATCAAATAATTAATCAAGGAGGTTATTGTCGTTTTGACCTGAAATAAAGGCAGTAAAATGTGTATGTTAAAGGAAAATTCACGTCCGTATTTCCCGAGGTAGTGGACTAAGCCATGTGATCACTGAATCGTCGAATATTACTTTAGCATATAAGGGTTAAGATATGTTTCCAGGTCTTTGCCCAATATTTTCCAAACACATTCAATCTCTTAGTCGATCTTTACGACTTACTGCGAAATAAATTAGTTTTATTTTTTTTCAATCAAGATTTATGTGAAGTTGAAATAAAAACTATGATATTGATAAATGAAATGAAAAACATTTAATGATACTTATCATCATAGATGAATGATTGGTCTCGCTTCACTCGACTAGATACCGCCGGCGTACTTGTCTAATGCGGTGACAAATACTATGCCGAAATCGGCATACCCGAGCTTTCACCGAGCCAGTCAACTTGACAGTTGTGTATGGGGTGTACGTAGTGAATATTTTATTAAAATTTGGTGTTAATCGAAAGTAAAATACCAGTTTATGTAGTGAAATAATACAACAATAAATAACAAGGACGCTGGGATCACTTAACATCAATAAGTATAGTAAAATTTCGAAATTTCAACATAAAATAACATGAACCCTCAACGTCATTCAGGTGTTGCCGCGTATACAAGAATCAAGTCCCTATGGTTCTGATTTTTATTTATAATTTTAATTTATTGTTAGTGTATTTTATTATTGAACCTATGTTATTTAAACTTACTATTAAACTTGCAATTAAACTTAACCTAGTTTTATATTATTCAACGTTTATCTTTGTGATCTACCTTTTATTCCTTTGATATTCTGATATTATTTTTAATAACATTTTTTCAACACGTTTTTTCGTTAACTGACTCTTATTATTTACACAGTCTTTAGTTTCACAATTCAGCATATGAACTACCATACTTGTTGTGTAGTTTTTTTAATTTCATCATATTATTTTAATTATTTTACGGTTAAGATGACAAATAAACAATTCATTTTGTATTTATAAACACAAATTAACTTAACTAACGTAGTAAGAAACATTTATTTATACCTATAGTTTATTCTATTTTTATATTGCTGCTGTTCCGGCTGCACAGTCGGTCTTTAAACATACTTTAAAAAAAGGATATTCTCAGTTTGATCTGTATGTATGCATGTTTGACCATGATAATCTCAAAGCTACGGATCCGAATTGGATGGGGTTTTCGCGCATATTAATGCGGAAATTCGCATTTCTGAGAAGGTTTTAGTATATAATTTACTAGCAATGTCTCACGGTTATACCCGTGTGGATCTACGCTTGTACAATTTCCAACTAGTAGCTTATTCTGTGTAACACTAAAAATGGGAAAATGAAATAACTTTTAATAAAAATAAAACCGACTTAAAAAAAATATATTTACCGCCTGATATACTTGAAGTCGATACCAAGGTATGTGTTTAGCAGGGAGATCATGATAATAATATCGATTAACTTCACGGTAAATCTTATTTTACATTTTCAGTATTTTTGAAATCGGTTCTATTTTTATTAAATAATATTCCTGTGCCGTTATTGAACCTGTGAGCGCATTAATAAATAATATTTGCGCAATTTTAATTCAACCCCGCCGGAAATACTTATCGAGGCAAGAAACGCGAGTGATAGGCTATTGCCGCCAGTTGATTTCTGAATATATAGTAACATGACGACATTTCTAAAGCGACGTTCTGATGGATATATTGGCCGAAAGTCAAAAGTATTGTCACCAACCGATTTTGAAAAGTTTTTGAAGGTAGCTCCGTAATGTCAAAATACTTGGCAACAAAGCTGCAAAGGTCAGTTGAACTTTATAACAGTTACTAACTACAAGTTTATATTTTCGTCGCAATTGTTATGAAAAACGTCGTATGCAGTTCGTGTGCATTGATCATTACACACTCAGCTTCCTTACCGAGTTACAATAATGTCTCGTTTATAGGGACCAACTTCTCAGACTTGAATCACTCTTACAATGTACAAGAAAACATTACATGTAAAAAAAATTGAGGCCTAAGCATTTTTTAAAGAAGAAACCTACGCCTAATCGTATAAGTACATTAAAATTTTGATATATTCGTATTTAATTAAGTACATCTTCTTCAAGTATTTTATGAGCTACATTTATAACCTGGTACATATTAATTATAACCTACAATATTTTCCCTATTACTTGGGTAGCAGTTGAGCAGCTGGCTACACGATTTATGACATTTGATAGCATCATTGCAAATTGACATACATACACTAATGAGTTGCCGCATTTATGGAGCTGTTGTTTTTTGACGGCGCGGTATCTAGTCGAGTGAAGCGAGACCAATCATTTATCTATGCTTATCATATTCCTCGTGTCTCCTTGTCAAAACATGTCACATTTGTGAATACTATTTTTCTGCAATTTTTGTTACATTTCTTTATAAATGTAGTCTGATTTGGAGTGAATGCCAAACAAATAAGCTCAGCTAAATCATGCGTGCCATGACGTGAGTTGTCAATTGTGATAAATAGCGGAATAACATACTTTATTTTAAAAATATTTCTTGCATTAATATTTCATTTTAAATACAAACCTTGTCCAGACGATAACGAATACAAAATAATTATCCATTCTTTTCTAGTAAACTTTTCTTTAGATTTAAATATCTAGCAGTTCAATGCTTAAAAAATAAAAACATAAGAATTATCCAATTTGGTTCAGTCGTTCGGAAGTGATGCGCATAATGGCGCAAACAAACTTTTCGATGATTCATTTTTATACATATAGATATCGAAAATTGGCTAACTTTTAGATATTTTGGCTTCTTTTAGTTGCATTGTACTTACTGATGAAGAAATTGTGGATTTCTCAAAACATATCATACATCATACCAGCTTTCGTACTGTGAATAAACCCAACAAAATATACCCCAAATTTATAAAGCTGTTTCTATTTATTCTTTTCAAGAATCTCGAGTAAATACTACGTAATACAAGTAACTAGTTATTACTCATTTAAATAAAACAACGTGTTATAAATAAATAGATTCTGTTTAGTTAAAGAAAGGCCTTATCGAAGGATACTTACTCAAGCATGCTCTCAAATTTTAGAGCAGAAAATCAGTAATGTGCTCTTTAAAATAATGACAAGGTTACATGCAAAAGTAACATTGATCTATTTAATAAAGCTAATCTATTTCTGAACCATCGTTTAATTAATTGATTTCAAATCTATCCGTATAAGAATCTAATGAACAAACTGAATGTTAATCAGTTATTGTTACCTCAGAGGTCAGCGGCGATCACAACATTGCATCACGACTATTCAATCGACATAATATCGATTTGAATCGCCTCTCATGGACCGATTAAATATCGATTATTGTCCGATTCAATCGATTTCGCTGTCGAAATACTAATTAACCTTAATTCGGCGGCGTCGCGTGGGCAAGTATTATTTTTTATTAAAAATAAAATTTGCGATTTATTGTTTCACACTTACGTACTCTTACGATATTTACTTGCGAAAGGGAAACGCAACTATATTTAATTTACGCGTTAACAGGGGCGTGTCTTAATCGTTATGATGTTACTGATTTTCTTCATTATCGGTTTATCAATATCATATAACTGAGCTCGAGGCTTCCATATGTATGTAAATACATTTTATCTATGCCTTGCGCCTAGAATTTAGTCATAGTAATTATGTGGTACTACCATCAAGTTCTACACCTATGACAGGTAGGTGCGAGTAAAGTTGTAATCCTGGAAATGCTGAACGAGTCCAACATGGGAATTAATGCATGTAATTTTATTGAAAATTTTATGTGATAATACTGTACTTGTACCTGCCTATATTACAGTCACATCCGCCGCCGAGTAATCGTTGTACTCGCGTTGTCATGGGGTTTAATCACTCTATAGAATTGTGCCCAGTCAGATGACACGAGTGGATTACCCACTAATTACTGTTATTTATAGTTAAACTCAAGGCATGTTTAAGATATATAATCGAACCTCGTAGGCAAGGTGTGA